AAATTTTTATATGATGTTTTCTACGGGATCCCAAATAAAAAGTTTTGATGGTAACTGTAATGGCGAACCTTTCAACTAATTCGTAAAATGTTCCCAGACTAGCGGTAGGTCTGGGGCTTTCTTTCAAGATTTTTTAAAACGCGTCTGCTAGGGAGAGGTTTTCACACTGTTATAAAGAGTGTTTCGTTCTCCTCCCCAACCGATAGGAGAACTCAAAATTCACCCCCCTTCAGAACCCAACGTCTTCGTTGGTACTCTTCCCAGACCTAGCGGTAGGTTTGTGTCTTTCCCTCAAAGTTTTTTAAAACCCGTTTGCTAGGGAGAGGTTTCCACACCGTTATAAACGGTGTTTCGCTCTCCTCCCCAACCGATGAGAGAACTCACAATCCACCCCCCTTCATGACCCAACGTCCTCGCTGGCATTCGTTCCTTTACCCCCCACCAAATTCACCCCCCTTCAGGGCGTAGTATCCTTACTAGCACACTGCCTCATGTCCCTTCGAGGAACAGCCTCCTCGCTAGCACATCGTCCAGTGTTTGGCTCTGATACCATTTGTAACCGTCCAAGCCCACTACTAACAAATTGTCCTCTTTGTGTTTTCCCTCAAAGTTTCTGCTAGGGAGAGATTTCCACACAGTTATAAAGGGTGTTTCGTTCGTTGTCCTCCCCAACCGACCTGGAATCTCACACAAACATTACAAAACTTTTACAATTAAACCCAATCACATCAACACAATTATAACAATATAGTTTTAACTTGAATGATTTTGTGAATTTAAAGTCAATTATTGATTATTCCTCATTTTTCTATAATATAATACCAAAGTCAAATGGTAATAATATAATATAGTTAAAAGTAGAAATGTCCAAAAGAAAAGGAAAACATTATTATATTATATACTTTTTCATCATTGCTTACTCAAAACTAATGGGATACTTCATGTCACCATTATTATATTCATTACTAGGGTTTTTTATAAAATGGGAAAAATTAAAATAGAATTAATAATTATATGTCAATCAATAAAAACCTTACTCTTTTTATTCTCAAAAATCATCATTCAAATGCACCCAATATAATATCATTAGTTTAATTAATAAAAGGGGTATTCATGAGCTAGGTTACATCGGGTTTGGGTTGGACTCGTTTTGTTATTCTTCCAAAATTATATGGGTCATATTTTGATTTGTCCATGATGTTAATTTAGCTGTCACATTATCACGTCGGGTATTTTGTCTCAACTGTAATTTTTTCGTTTTAGCTCTGACTTGAGTGATTGAAAAGTGTTGAAATCGTTATTCCCAACCTTATACTTTGTACGATTCAAAATATTGATACTGATAGTTAATAATTAAGAGTAGATTTAAAATTAATTAGAATGAGATGAAGGGCTAAAAAGCCAACCGATTTGAGTGGTTCAAGTCATTTTTTTCATAATTACTTATTTTCATACCTTTATTAAAATTTACCGTCCAATTTCAATATATATTTTGAAATTAAATAAAAATACAAATAATAATTATGAAATTAAATAAAAATAAAATAAATATAATAATAATAGCATAACTCAATCCAATCTCAATCTAGTTTTAATAGAGCCCGTGAATCAACCAAATTTACATCCGTTTTGAATTAAACAAAAACAAGTTCATAATCCAACCAAAATCATTTAATGTTTTATTTTTAAATTAATGTTTAATTTTTTAATTTAATAAAACTTCATAAATAATTTCAATTCTAAGGATGATTTATGAAGTTTTAGCAATTATAGATATCAATTCTAAATTAAATTCCAATTTGAGACTAAATTTATCATTTAAGAATATAAATTAATAAATTAATAAATTAATTTGAGAGAATTTGGTGTCAACCACTTGGTCTTTATTTAAGTATGATATTTTTAAAATTAAAGGCTTAGTTATTGATATTAAAGGACCCATTGAAATTGCTAATATACCCTTTATCTATAAACTATTAAGAAAATATCACACCTAAAAATACTTGGGTTTTTTTTTTTCTTTTTTTTCAAAATATTTTTGTTAGACCCAGGTTCAAGATGCGGAATTCAAATTCGACACTTGATGGTCTCGGCATCTCTTGCGACAGGGTCACTTTACCTACTCCTAATATAGAATTTGTGAGATCTCACATCGATTGGAGACGGAAACGAAGTTTTTCTTATAAGGGTGTGAAAATCTTTTTTTAGTGGAAGGCTTTTTAAAACGTTGAGGGAAAACCCAGAAGGAAAAGCCCGAAGAGAACAATATTTGGTAACGGTGGGCTTGAATTGTTACAAATGGTATCTGAGCAAAACATGGATTGTTAACATTAAGTGGTTGAGGACAATGCTGGGCTCGAAGAGGGGTGGGTTATGAGATCCTACATCAGTTGATTTTAGATTAATCTTTTACTCGGGTCTAAATTGATTTATTGATATAAAAAATTGTAAGTTAATATAATTTTTAGTTTAGAAACTAAAATTATATTATAAGTATAAATTAAATTTGGCTTATATTATTATTATTATTATTTTTTTTTGACAAAAAGCATGCTATATCAAGGTGGCATTGAGGCAGTCTCACATATTTTTATTTTTTTAATTTTAATTCTTAAAAGTCAAATAAAGTTATAACAACACAAAATTAGATAAACTTTCATTTAATTAATCTTAATTAATTTAAATGTGTATTTTCACATGACAATCAAAGTCAAATCTATATTAAAATATTAAATTAACAAAGTATATTTAATTTTTGTCCTTATCATTACAAAAAAATCTTATTAAAAAACTTGGTAAACACACAAAAAAACAACTTTATAATATAAAATTACTTCTAAGAATAATTTTAAAACTAACCCCAATTATTATATCATTATTATCATCTTTTCAACCAAAAAAAAAATCCTAAAAAAAATTTTAAAAATTAATAATATAAAAATAAGTGGACGGAAATTAATATTTTATATGACATATTCAAAAGAATAAAAGTTTACTTCTATTTTATATTATCTAAAACAATTTAAAATAGTACTTTCTCATGTTTTAAATATGAGATTTGATATGGGATGGAGAGTAGAAATAAATATTCTTTATAAAAGTGTACAAACCTCTCTTTAATAGACACGTTTTAAGACTGTGAATTGATAGCGATCTGGGTCAAAACAGATAGTATTTGTTAGGCATGGACTTTTACAATTAGTATCAGAGCCAACCACTAAGCGGTGTGTCAACGAGGACGCTAGGCCTCTAAGAGGGGGTGCATTGTGAGATCTCACGTTAGAGAGGGGAACAAAATATTTCTTACAAGTGTGTGGAAACCTCTCTCTAATAGTCATGTTTTAAACTGTGAGTCTGACGGCAATACGTAATGGGTCAAAGCGAACAACATTTGTTAGCGATGGACTTGGATTGTTACAAATGGTATCAAAGTCAGGCCCTTGGCAGTGTGACAGCGTGGACGCTGGCTCCTAAGGGGGGTGGATTGTAAGATCCCACATCATTTGGAGAAAGGAACAAAACATTCCTTATAAGGGTGTGGAAACCTCTCCCTAGTAGTCATGTTTTAAAACTGTGTGTCTGACGGCGATACGTAATGGGTCAAAGCGGATAACATCGTTAGCAGCAGGCTTAGATTGTTACAAATGGTATCAAAGTCAGGCCCGTGAAGATGTGCCAGCAAGGACGCTGGCCCCCAAGGGGGTGGATTGTGAGATCCCACATCATTTGAAGAGAGGAACAAAATAAGGGTGTGGAAACCTCTCCTATTGTCACGTTGTAAAACCATGAGTCTGACGGCGATACATAATGGGTCAAAGTAGACAACATCTCTTAGCAGTGAACTTGGATTGTTACAAGTAGTATCAAAGTCAAACCCTACCAACGAGGATGTTGGACCTTCGAGAGGGTGGATTGTAAGATCTCATATCGGTTGGAGAAGGGAACGAAACATTTCTTATAAGAGCGTAGAAACCTCTCCCTAATAGACGCATTCTAAAACCATGAAGTTGATAACGATATGTAACGGATCAAAGTAGGACAATATCTACCAGCATTGTAAAATTTAACGGATGGATTGACAAAATTACATAAAAATGAAGAAAAAAAAAATGAAAATCCCTAATGTGGAAGAGTAGGGTCAAGAATGATTTCCTCCACTTCCAAAAGATACAAGCCAAAGCTGAGTCCCATCTTTCCATCAAATCTCCTTCCACTTTTCTTCTTTGTTTTTCTTGCATAGTGATGACCTCCATTGGATGTACTTAGCTTCCACTGTTCAAATCTTCTGTTCTTCAGCTTTCTGTCCCATCCACACCTCCCCATATTAATTCCCCAAAGGGAATATGGGTCTCATTGCCTCTTGCTTCCAATCATCCAACAATCCCATTTACATTATATCACAATCCATTTTTAACACCCCCCACCCTTAATTCATTTCATTACCTCCTTTTCTAACTCGGGTCGGTCTCGATATACTTCTAAATCTTCTAAAACCCGTTTTTATAACTATTTTGGCTCATTTGACTAGGTGGGTGTTTGACCCGTCAATCAAATTTATCATTACAAGAGATACTGTGATATCCTACATTGGTTGGGGAAGAGAACAAAATACTATTTATAAAGGTGTAGAAACATTTCCATAGCAAACGCGTTTTAAAGCCTTGAGGGGAAACCCGAAAGGGAAAGCCTAAAGAGGACAATATCTACTAACAGTTGGTCTGGATCGTTACAAATGGTATCAGAGCCAGACACCGAACGATGTGCCAACAAGAAGGTTGTTCCCTGAAGGGGGTAAACACAAGGCGGTGTGCCAGTAAGAATGCTAGGCCTTGAAGGGGGGTGGATTGTGATATTGCACATCGGTTGGTGAAGAGAACGAAATGCCTTTTATAAGAGTGTGGAAACGTTTCCCTGGCATACGCGTTTTAAAGCATTGAGGGGAAACTCAGTACTCACATATTTTGATTGCCTCGTTCAAATCTTTAACAAAGTTTGCAGTAATTAACATAATTCATGAACTGATCAAAGTGTAATGAACAAAACCCTAATGAAATGATAATCCAAGAAATGATCTCTCTCTCACAAACAAAAAAAGTTCACTTCTGTTTTACTCAATACAATTAATTAATTATCTCATCCAAGAGAAACCAAAGTAAATAAGAGCTAGCTAGGTGAATGTGTATATAATATATATATATATCAGATAATTACCCTTCATCAACCTCCATTGGCTTATTTGAATAAGCTCCCATTTGACTTCTCTGTCCAATCATAGAGCTCCAAAAATGGATCTTTACTGCGCTCTTCATCATTTCCTTTACTAAACCCATGGTTACTGAACCGGAGGAGGTTATCATTCATTGTGTCCGTTGCATGACGATGATCGTGCTCGTTCATTTGATCGGAAAATTCGTCGAAAATCAAGTCGTACAAGAACTCCTGATGATCCCCCTCGACCTGATGTTGGTTTGTTGTTATTGTTGTGGCTGCTTTCTCCGTAGTTTGGTCTTCATTCATGTCCTCCTCCTTTATTTTCATAGTTGCTAGGTTTTCATTGTTGTGCTCGTGTTTTGGGCTTGTTATACGTGTAGTGGAAGTGGAGGTTCGAGAAGGGTGGGAGCGAGTTGAGCCTGCTAGCGCATTACGTTGAGTAGGCCATGGGTGGTTATGCTCCGAGGTGTAGGTGATGACGAGCATGTTGGGGTCGGTGCGACTACGCTCGACCTGCTTTCGGGCCGAGCAGCCTTTGGAGCTGCTACACCTGTAATATCCCCTAAATAGAAGAGAAAGGAAGGGCAATATTTTCACTAATAAATTCTCTTAATTCAAATGATAATACTAATTATCAGCTCATAAAAAAGATATAAAATTTGAAGAACAAAACAATAATTTTCTTAAAATAATTATATAATTATTAAAATTTTACAAATCACTTGAGAATTTGATGAGTAATGATGAATAAAATTATTGGAAGTCAATTTCTTGTCAGATAAAAATTAAGAGGTACAAAAACTTGCAGCATTTGGCATTGATTTCTGGAAAATTATATATATATTGTATATGTATATGTATATGTATATATGTATAATATATTTATTTTAATTTAAGGAAAATAATTGAAGTATAATTGACCTTGGATATGGAGATCCTTTGATGGGTTTTTGTCCGTACTTCCTCCATGCCCACAGATCGGAAGGGACAACTTCGCCGCTGCTTGATCGGCTGTTTGCCGGCGCCGGCGCCGGAATGCACACCACCTTCTTCACTTGGTTCTTCCTATGAACATTCCATGAATGAAATTTTAGTTATGATGTAGTTTTTTTCGAATTTGTAAACTCTTTAACTAATCAATAATCATCGAACTTAACCCAAAATTTGAATTCGTTTCAAACCCACATGAAATTAGAGCAAAAATCAAGCTAAAACGAAATTTAGAGCACTAATTATCGTAGATTCGTTATTCGATCGTATATACCTTCTTTTAATGGCGGGATTTCTTGGAGGAGAGATCTGCAGGTCGGAATTATCCCTTAAGCAAAGCGGGTTAGAGCTCGGAGAATTCCTCGTCGCCGCCACGGCCGGAGAGTCGCATGGAGGAGTAGTAATTACACCGTCACCAACTTTGGAGGTAGGAGAGATCTGCAACATTCTTGGAAATACAGTAGATGGCCGTTCCGCCGCCGTGAAACCCCAACCGCCGCCGTGAGAATCAAAATTGAAGGAAGAGAAATGGGGATGAAGAAACGGATCTTGAGTACTAGAGGTGGGAAGCAACAAGGGATCTCCAAAATTCATGGAAGAGTCATCGGCAGGAAGGTGAGGCAAGAGGTGGCGATCGCCGAGAGAGAATTCCGATGATTGGGCAGCTGAGTTGGCGGCGGAACTGGCTCGAATTACATCGGTCAAATCACCCGCTTGCTGATAGTTATCATTGTCCATCTCAAACAAATTGCAGAACATAGTTTGTTGCTGTCTGTCTTCACCGGAGACCAATCGGAAAACATGCAGAATTTTTGTCGCCGGCGAGATTAGAGAGAGAGAGAGACAGAGAGAGATTGGAAATGGGGTTTTTTTTGTTAATGGAAAATTGAATTTTTAAGAGAGAGAAATAGAACGCTGACTTTCTCTCTCTAAAAAACCAGTTCTCTTCTATACGCAACATGTGGAGAGAGAAATAATAAATTAGAAGTGGAGGGGTTGTAGTGATATATGTGAAAGAGTCAAATTTATTAATTTAAGGAGTTTTTGGGGTTATTTTTGAAATTAAGGGGAGTTTTGGGGTTTATTTAGGATTTAGAGAGTTATTTATTTATTTTTAAATAATAAATAAATAAAGACGGACGAAAAGTCATTTTTGGAAAACAAGTGATGGGAGAGTAAAGAAGGCGGCAAGTAGCCGCATTTTTCGGAGAACGCTTCGATTCCCTTCAATTATTATTATTTTTATTTATTTATTTATTTATTAAAATAAATTACAACATTTTGTTCAAAATTTTATAAAAATAATTACCAAAATTAAGGTTAAATTAATTAAAATACACATAATTAACGAAATATATTCTTTAATTTTTTAAATTACCCTTGAATTTTAAAAGCATAAATTTTATTTTAAAAACTTTTTAAAATAATATTTGAGTCGATTATTTTTTATTAATTTAAGTTAAATAAAATAGCTTCTGAAGATTTAATTAATGACATCATAAATAAGGAAGGATAGAAAAAATATATCATTATAATTAAAGATAATTAAGCACGAAAAATGAAGGATTAAGAAAACAATCAAAACATTCTCTTACCAGAAAACAAATTCCACGTGTGTAATAAATATATATTGATTAATTAATTACGAAAATGAATTTCAACCGCAGAAAATAAACTAAAAAATAATTAAAATAATTAATTAGTCGAAAATCTCGGGCACATGTGCTTGCAAGAATTCGACCGAAATCTCATTTATTGATGCCTTCAATTTTTCATATTATTAATAATAAGCTTAGAATATAATAAATTTTAATTATTTATTGGAATATGTATATATATAATCCGCCATTTATTAAATAATTGTACATTTAAATTAAATACATACGTACGTACTACGTCTCTTCCTTTGTAAACTTAACCCCAAACATTTTCCTAATTTTTTTTTTTTTTTTTTTTAGAATTTTAGAAAATTATTTAAAACTGAATAATAATAATAATAATAATAATAATAATTGTGCAGTACTGGTTCTAATTCGGTGAACAAGTTAGTCGTGCTAAATTTGGATTTCGTAAAAAATATCGGCTTATTCTCAAACCTTGAGTGACGTTTGAGAGAAATATTTTAGTAAATGTGAGTGAGGAAATACGCTGAAAACAATATTATAAGCTAAAAGTGAGTAAGCAATAACAATGGTTTTGATAGCATATAACCTGGGTAGGAAGAAATGACAACTAATCATATCTCCTATAGTACATTTTGGAGCATTTCAGCCCTATCTGTATAAACATGATTTTGATGACCAGTCATACACCATCTCTATTTTCAAGTTGGTTTTGGTTGGATTGTAACCCTATTTTCGATTTGATCGGATTGACCCGATCAAAAAATGTCAACCCGCAAACTAACCCAAATTTTTTAGTGTTCCAAAATTTCGACTAAATCTGAATTGAAAAAAAAAAAATCTAATTCAACTCAGCTTTTATCGGATAGTTCAAATTAATCAGTTTATTAGGTCATATGAATATCCCGAGATAAATAGGTAATATATATTATTTAAATTTCTTTAAAATGAGAACACTCAAATTCTCTTGTGTTTTCCTTGGCAATAGTGCAAGGAACCATGTGCAAAAGCCCCCTTCTTTCCCATTATTAAAATTAGCACAAAATTTAAAATTTAAAATTTGGACTTTGTTGACTAATTAACTAAATGATTTTTTGAGTTCCAAAAAGGAAAGAAAAAATTGATTTTTGTTTTTTTAAATTTGACATAATTATTTGCGTTGTTATTATTAAAACTTTCAGCAACGTTGCATCTGATACCGCTAAAACTAACTTATAGCAGTACAACGAACCACGTTGATATCGTTAAATATAGAGACAGTCTTTACACACTGGTACTTCAGCAATATTATTTTTAGGTCGTTCTTGGAGCTTCCACTCGTCTTTTGAAAGTCAACATGAGTTGACTTTTCTCATAGAGAGATTGGTGGGTATAGTGTAATAATTCAATTGTGGGGTTGAAATTTATAAAAACCCTTTTTTTCTCCACTTTTCATGATCAATATAGAAACCCAAAAGTTAGCAAATAATGTGTGGAAAATGGTGTTCCAAAGGTTTCATTTAGTCTTTAGGGTATAATTAACAATCAACATCATGCTTGTAATATTCTTATAAATGCTTTTTTTTTCTCGACCCATGCACGAACATCATATAACCCTAAAGTTAAATACATCGTACGAAATCAGTTTTAACTTTCAACTCGAAATAATGCAACAAAAGATCTAATTCATTGTCTCGTAAATCTCGTTTAGAGCTAGATAGAAATTCGAAACTTAATCATTCGGTAAAAATTGAAAATTTTTACTCTTATGGTGTAAAATTCCTATGATTTAGCTACCGAAAAAAAAAAAATGGTGCATATTATATGTTTATGTAGTAATTTTATATTTTCATAATCACTTTCATTCAAATGTAGTTGAAGTTCATTTATATATCTCTTGTTCACTCGAGCGTCACCCTCTCGGTGGGTACCCTAAAAACCAATTAAATGTAAATATTCAATTTTTTACCTCCAATAACTTTTTTTTTTTAAGTACGTGCTAGATTTGAAAGGATTGAAATGGAGCAATAATTATAGAAATTAAATGGGTGGACACCAGACAGTGTGCTTTCTCTATGCCAGTGAAGACGTTGAGCCTCAAAGGTGGGTGGACACCAAATGTGTGCTAACAAGGACATTGGGTCTCGAAAGGGATAGATTGTGAGGTCCCACATCGATTGGAGAAAGGAACGGGATGGATTGTGAGATCCCGGAGAGGGGAATTTTTTACCTCTAATAACTTTTTTGTTTTTTTTTTTTTTTTTTTTTTTTTGAAGTAATTGATTGGAGCAATAATTATGAAGAGAATCACCAATCTCTAAGGCTTTGACGAGACGTTTTTAGAATCTACCGTCATCTCTCTCTCTCTCTCTCTCATCAGTCACTTTCTTCCAATTCTATATATATTTTTTTTACTTTTACCACTCCAATCATAGTCTTATTCTATTTGTTATCTCATGCCCTAATCCTAGTAACTCCACTTTTATCTTCTCTTTTTTTCACTTTTTACCCTCAACAAGAAGGTAAGTTTTTCAACATTGACGTCACAATCCCAATGCTTCAAAACCTGGTAATTGATGGGTTATAATCTTACGTTTCTTTGTTGGGTCTTCAGCTTCCCATTGTTTATTTTAACCGTACAGTAAAAAAAAAAAGTATCAAATATGTGTTGGGGAGGGTGGTGGAATATCATCATGGTCAAATTGTATTCATTGTTGGAGAAGAAATGAATGAGATGTGATGTTCTATATAAGTTAAAAAGGTCATTCATTCTATCTCATCAACTTAATGATGACGGGAAGAACGTTAGAGGAACTTGAAGCACTTGTTCAAAATTTAATAGGGTTTGGCTGACGGGATCTTAAGTTTTCGAACCTCGTGTTTGTAAGAATGTGAAAACCTGTTTCTAACAAATGATTTTAAAAACGGAAAAGTCCAAAGAGGACAATATTTACTAGCGGTGGGTTTGAGCTGTCACAAATGGTATCAGAGACAGACATCGAGTGACGTGTTAACGAAGACGTTGAGGCTCGAAAATGGGTAGATTGTGAGATCTCACATCGATTAGAGAGAAGAACGAGTGTCATTAAAGACGCTGGGTCCTGAATGAGGTGTGGATTGTCAGGGAACAAAACATTTTTTATAAAGGTACAAAAACTTCTCTCTAGCATACGTGTTTTAAAAACCTTGGGAAGTTTTTATACCCTTATAAATGGTGTTTCGTTCCCTTTAGTTGGAATTAAATAATTATAAAAAATAATAATTTTTAAAAATGATGGAAGTCTAGGTTTGGAGGATTTTTATTTTAATAGTGAGACAGCAAGGATTCTGATGTGGTCCTTTAGCAATATGTTATAGAAAAATAATAAAAATAATAAACCCTAAAGTTTATAATATATAGTTTTGAATTAAAAAAATGGAGGGATTTATTTGGGTAAGGACAAAAGAGCTGCCCCATGTTGGGACATGATAAGGGCAGAGGAAAACAAAATAAAACTGGGATTCTCTTCTTGAGCAACACACTATCCCCCCTCTGTAGGGCAGTGTTTGGGGCATTATCAAATATTTTGTGACCAATTATATATATTTTTTGTCATAATTTCTTTTTTTAATGTTTATTTGATTTGAGTGATTCAATCATTGAAACGCTCTATGTTGGAGTGACCTTAGTACGTAACACCCCAAGTCCACCTCTAATAGATATGTCTTTTTTGGGTTTTTCCTTCCCAGCTTCCCCCAAACCTGTTTACTATGTTTCCACACCCTTACAAATAATGTTTTGTTCTCATCTCCAATCGATGTGGGATCTCACAATTTATCCCATTCAGGGTCTAGCGTCTTTGCTGGCACACCGCTTAATATCCACCCCCTTTGAAGCTCAGTGTACTCGCTGGCACTCGTTCCTCTCTCCAATCGATTTAGTATTTCACAATCTACCTCCCTTCAGGGTCTAGTGTCTTTGCTGGCACACCGCCCGGTGTCCACCCCTTTTCAGAGATCAATGTACTCGATGACACTCGTTCACCTCTTCAATCGATATGGGATCTCACAATAAGTCCACCGCTATTGAAAAGATTCATGCGTTGGTCTATAGAGATAGTCTTCACTTTTAGAATCACGTGTTGATCTGTGACCATACTTTTCATTCTTACAAATGAGAAGTAAGTAACATAAGTAACAAAACTATATTCAAGGAGATGCAGGGTAATGTCGGGGTCAACATATTCTGAATCTTGATATGAATTCTTGGTACGTATCGAGAAGATAAATATTACAAATTGGTAGAGGAAAAAAATTAAAAAGAGAAATTAAAAATAGTG